CACCCAATGGATTTTGCCATATAAATTGAGATCCTATTTGAGAGTAACGCAACACTTTTAATATTTTAATGGCAATTAATGATTAAATAAGTGTTCGATTGTAAGTGTTTTTGTTTAGTTATTATTAAGCAAAAAGTATTTAGTAAGGAGTTTGGACTCTAGAGGCATAAGAAAAAGCACACTCACCTGCAGAAAACTCTTTTGGAATATTTGGCATATATTATTTTTTTCAATGTTTTTTTTTTTTTGTTATTCAAAGCATTAATTCAACGAGAAATTTTTAAAATAATGTATTAGATGAGTTGTGCAAAAATTTTGTACAGTGCAGTAGTTATTAGTAGAATGAGTTATTTTAAATTAAAATTTGTTAAAAAAAAAATAAAAATTTATTTAGCAACTTAGAAATTTTCATAAGACCTAGAACGAGGGCAGTTCTTAAGTCAGCGGCTTTTCGACGAAGGTCCACGGTAGCACTCTACAGCAGCAGATTCGCTAAAAAATTTTCATTCTACTACATACCAGAAGAAATTAAAACCATCGTGCTTATCTCACCTCGAGCTAATGAGCACTTAAGAGTTTGAACGGTTGATACCTGGCATATAACACTATCATTTTTATTCGATAAGAAATTATTTATTTTTAACGATTGTGTCGTAATTATACGAGAAAATGTCTTTTTCCCATATAAAATATATGGAAAACTCCAAAGTCCCAGCGGCACGGTTAAATGTTTACCGTTTTCTAAATAAAAAAATACTGGTGTACTTATTTTTCGTATTCTCCAGTAATGGAAGGTGGCTGCGAAACAATTTGTACCACCCTTATTTACATAAGAAACTTCGATTAAGGTAAACAGCATAGTAGAATCTTATATAGCCTGCAGTGAAAGACAGAATTTCACCATTAAACTTATTTAAGGGCATTTGGTTAGAGACACTGATTAAACAAGGTAACCACAAGAACGATTACTATATAGGTTTATAGAATGAGGTTGACTTTCTAAAACCATATCTGCCCAGCACATTCTTGGCAAAAGCTCACAGCAGATCGATAGCTATTGGGAATTTTTACTGAGTATCAAGTGAAATAATTTTAGACCCCAGTGGCTTCACAAATGTCGCTGAATCTAAGTAAGCACCCTCAAGGATTAAGGTAACCTTAGCTAATCGTAAAAGTATGTTTTTTAAGTAAAAAAGTAAGAAACCACAACCAATATTAGACATTAAGGCATATAAATAAATTTCTAACAAATTAAACGCTACTAAATTAATTGTCTCATACTCACAGGTAATTTATCACTTTGTGTCTGACTAAATGTCCCCACCGGCACTAGGCCAGGAACTGTCATATTTCGACTATTTCGCGCATAGCCACGCGCTAATACTGTATAATTGCCAGCGGCATCGCCATTCTCATCAATGTAAACATGGTAGCTGCAAAGGAGGAAGACAAGTAGAAATTATTGATTTTTTTTAAAGAAAAGTAAAAAAGCAAGTAATTAATATGAAAAGAATGTGTAAAAATTTACGACCACGGAAGCCCTTTAAAATGCCCGCTAAAACTTCCATTTATTTTATGAGCGAAAAAAATACCAATAAGCCCATTAAATACCGAGAATTCATTATTTAAGTGTAATCAAAAAATTTTTTTCGCCTTAAAAAGAAAGCGAATAAAGCGCTTAATCACCATAGAGGCCATTACTTTTAAATTTGATGGCATTTTAACATACATTTCCCCAAAGCAATAGTTAAAAAGCAATATACAACTGAAGTGTACTTCAATGTTTACCATATACAACTAACAACATTGTAGTCGTATTTGTCTTTTCAAACAAAAAAACACAAAAAGAAAGAAAAAGAAAACACCTTTTTCTACTCACCCCATGGCGCTCAGGTATTTAGAACCTTTTATAGCCGCAATGATAGCAGTGCCATTTTTTGGTTTGTCACCAGCCTCCAAAACTTTTATTAGCGCATTTGCATACAAATGAACGGCATCGTAGAGGTAAGCAGCCTCAGCGCTGATCTGCGGAAGAAAGTTAGAAAGTTATTTTAACATAAGAAAAGCTATGACAGAATGAACTAAGAATTTCTTAATTTGCATAGCACGTACATACATGAAAAAATTACTCACTACAAACCAGGGACGGAAAATAATCAAAATTTGTTCACTTAAGAATAATGATCATTCAAAATACTCAAAAGCTATACCAGCGTGATTTCTGATGTATTCTTTTCAGAGGTAGCGACATCCTAATAAAAGCATTAAGTCCCAAAATTTTCAGGTCAAAATTTCAGTAGAATGCTTCTGTATGGCTTTTTTCTATTTTATAAATAATCATTATTTTTTAATTGGAAAAACAAAACTCAATAATAATTTTTATTTCTGAGGAAAAAATAAAAATCATAAAATAATCGTTATTTGTGATCGAAAAAAATAAAAATCATAAAATAATGATTAAATGCTGATTTAAATTATTTTACTCATAATTATTACCGTCCCTGCTTTAAACTAAATGTGCCTTAAAGTACCACTAAAGTTCACACCCAACACGTTTTCGCACTCACCTGCTTTTCGCCACCAAAATAGCCTAGAGGATTGGGAAAATTGAATGGCGGCAGCTCCATGTATTTGTTGACCTAAGCAGCAAGGATAGAGAAAGAGACAAGAAAAATAAAATATCACTTAAGGCACAAGCCGGAAGGTTTATTAAGATTAAGATAAGTATTAAATATTTCACGCACGTTTTGCATCCTTTTCACACATATCACTCCATTAGCTTTCTATTAAGATACACATAGTATGTATGGATATTTATTTGGGGGCATTTCTGCTGACTATACCCGTATTCCACACTCGATAATTGTCGCTTAGATACGCATTAGTACGTGCTTTTATAGCCACAAATATACCTACGAAAAAATGTAAATTAGGCCATAACAGAAAAGTTTCGCTAAAGAAATATTTCTAACCGAAGGCCATTTCGATTTTTTCTTTGCCCTACGTAGGGTCTTTTTACATTTTTCATCATAAATATCTTCGGCTTTTACAGTGGGATCTTAAAGTATAATTTATCGATTTTTTTGCCTTGGACAGTTTTTATTCCTAAAGTTCATTGACCGTGTTAATACTTATCCACCATATCCCACTCCTGATCACCCTAATGTCAGTTATTTAAATCTAACCAAAAATCCTTCAAATCTTGTTAAGAAAATATTTCTTTTATTCCAGTCGAACTATTAAAATAAAAATTTTTTTGTCGATTAATGTCAACGAAAAATGTAAAAAAAAATTATTTCCACATTTTCTTGCAAAAATACCTTAAATTCCGGGGTGCACGGCGAACTTTTTTTTGCTTTTTTGAAAGGTGTTACAGCCTAATGTACATACATATTTATGTAATTATGCCTTTAACTAATACACGTTGTCATTCTTGTTAGCATTATTAGCCTCAGTTTAACCAAAATCTTCGTAAATCGTTGCCAATCATTAAATTTTCGACCTCAATCATTTCAAAACCCTACCCTCTGAAAGCTTATCACATACATACTAAGCTTTAAATCATCTAAACTTCAAACTGATCAGTACATTTTGCGTATGTTTAGGTGTGGATCAGCTAAGTAGTAGTTATAAAAGTCTAGCTGGTCATACAACAAACACTATATAAATTTATATTTCAAACTTTGAATAAAAATTATACAAATTCTGCAAATTTTCACCAAAATTTCAAACTTTTTAATCAGAATGTTCACAAAAAGTCTTGGTATGCTGTTTTCAGAATTTTTATAATTTTTGTACAAAAACTTAAATCTGAATTTATTTGGTGTTTGTTGTATAACTAGCTAGACTTAAAAAAAAATATTAAACATTAAATGAACAAAAGACAAATAGCAAAAACTGATCAGAATATCTCGCTCCTAATGTTTTGTGGACCACTATATGTATATGTAAAAAAAAAATAAGAATATATTTTTATGTATAAATAAATAGATTAGCTGAGCACTTATGTAATTCAATTCTTGTTTGTACTGACTGTGGGATTAAAATCGTTATACATACTGATGCCATAATATTGCAGTTTATTGTCATTAAGCTTAATTAGTTGCGGTTGCAGTATTGTGAAATTGAGTATAACATTAACTAGTAGAATAACAGTTAAGAGTCCAAATATGTATTTGGCATAATTAGTTTATTTTGCTTTTACAAAGTCGCCAGCTGCAATAGTGAACTTTAGGAATGATTGACATATGTACATGTGTTTGTATAAGATCTGCAGATGTTAATCTCATTATGTACTTAAATATAAAAGAACCAAGGAAAGCTCCAAATTTAACACACGCCATGTAAGTATGTAGCTTCACATTTACCATAAAAGAACTAATTTATCAGTGATCCTCTTAAGCCAAAAGTGTTGATAACGATTAAATGGACATATGTACATTAGAGTGGTCCTTAAATGTAGGACGCAAATTTTTACATCACATTTCCTAAGCCTCAACCCCTACGTCAATGCTATTTACTATAGTCGAAGATATCACATATAAATTTTGGTCCCGATTGGAGACGGTTAAGGCGTGTCGCACTTGGGTCAGAGGTCAGATTAAGAAGATGTCTTAACAGAGTCCAATCGGGACCAAAATTTATATGTGATATCTTCGACTATCGTTGTATCGATTTTGTGTATTATTATTAAAAATTATTTTAATTTGTTTGAGTCTCTATAGAAGAGTCTGTACTTTGCCCCCTGTGCGACGCGCCTTAACCGTCTTCAATCGTAACCAAAATTTATGTGTGATATCTGTGGCCATTTGGTCATTTGATTTTAAATATCACCCTAATGTACATACATACATATGTATTTAATTACACTTTTTACTTGCACATATTTTTCGCCACTTTAATTGAAATATGTACATATGTATATGTTCCACTCACCTCCTTGGCAAATTTAGCAAACGACAATGACGCTGTTGGAAAGATGCCCACATATGATTGAAAAGCCACTTCTGCGCTTAAATCGATTTTCTCCAGCAGTAAACCGCGCAAATATTTATCCGGATTAGCTGGATCATATTGTTCAATATCGATGCCAACAACAAAATATTCCCCTTTGGCCAATAGCCCTTTACGTTCCAAACTGACCATCAGGCCAACATGCTCATAGTAGTGGCCAAGTATGAGATAAACTGCAAGTGAGCAAATGGAAAAAGTTCATTTATTGTTGTGAAACGGATTTGTTATTAAAGTCAGTTTCATTTCATGTACTACATACATACATACATATTTACAAAATTCTAAAACTGCCCCATATATTCTAATTATCGAATAAAAAACTCTTTTTTATTAAAAAAATATTAACAAAATTATAAGGTTGTTATAAAAAAAAATTTATTAAAATTTGTCAACGAAGAATTTTTTATTTAAGAATTTAAAAGAAATACATAAGTATGTCCTAGGTATTTATGTTTCTAAAAAAATATTTTAACTCTCTACTGCATGTATAATCATTTTCATTAATAATGAGATTTAAACAAATTTTGAAAAAATATTTTTAGCTTATTGTACTTATTTTTTTAACATTTCCAAATTTATATTTCAAAAAGTAAAAATAAACTCTCCAGTTTTTAATATTCTATACAATAACAAATTATAGAGCAAGAAAAATTGTTACCAAAATTTTAAGAAATATTTTTAATAAAAAAGGTGCTGGCCCAATGTAGGTTTGCTTTGTTCGCCGTACTGACTTTCGTTTGCTTTGATTTACTGTCAACGCGATCAGCTTGCTTGGTTACAGTCTGTTCCCTTAACTTTAAGAATTATTTCCTACAAAATACAACATAAATAAAAAAATAATAAGAAATAATAGGAACATCGTCTTAAGCTCCTATTCTTTTCAGATTGTTTTCAGATTCAGATTCACCTGCTTCGCTGAGTATGAAATTTCTGCGTGCTACATTATAGCTGAAATACTATGCCGGCGAACGGCGAACTCACCACAGCGAAATTCGCGTTGTCAAAATTAGAACACCCGCAAGCATATGAAATTGAACACAGCCAAAGCGAAATGCGAAGTTCGCTTGGCGGCGTTTCATGGCGATAGATTTATTTCTATCGCCCTGCTGGGCGATGACAGCTGTGCGTGCCAAAGGTGGCCGTATTTCTTTTTTGCTTTCAAAGTTTTAAAAGAAAACAACCTAAACACGATTTTTTTTTGTTGTTTGAAAAATATAGTTGTGGATTCGTTAAATCTGGCTTGAAACAAATTATTTATAATAATCTTTCTTTGTTTTACATTTATTTTGTTATCATTTCCTCATTTCTAAATATGATTTAGTTTTTTCCAAATATGGTCACCCAAATTATAAAGGCGACCAAATGGGATCAGCTGTTTTCGCTATCGCTCTAATTCTGTTTAAGTAGGCGAAATAGCTGGGCGAACGGTGAACGACAGCATCGCGCAATTCGGCGAAGTTTGCCGTTCGCCGGTATTGTATTTCAAGCATTAGGTGTAATTTATTGCAGTAAATCTCACCATACCTAAACTATGCTGAAAGCGGGAGATTTTAAATTTTTTTACCATCACCAAAATATTTTCAAACTAAAACTTTCTTAAACCTCTCTCTTGTGATACTTTTCAATTAACTGAATTCAAATATATATAGATTAAAAAAAGGACAACCCCCATACAAACATATAGTTTAGAAATAAAGCCATTTTAAAACCATTTCCATTGATACCCCTGTTGAAATACTTTATTGAAAATATTGAATATGTAGTTTGGGTTTAAATTTCTGAACAGTTGGCAACCTTTTTAAACCTCATTCGTTTGGCACTCATATTGGGATACATCATGATAAAAAAAACTAGGAAGGTAGAACCGCTGAGAGGAATTTATCAAATTCTTGACGAATGGTGAGGCCCAAAACTATCGAATGGTCCAACTGTCATTGCATTTTCTTTTAGACCACACTCGTCATTGATTTCTTGCCACAAGAAATGCTTGGCACCAGCTTTTACGATTACTTTCATCACGAGGATATTCCTGCATTGGCGGAGTCACATGTGAAAATGGTCATTCAAGTGTCATTTCATCATTAATTTGGTACAATTTAAAAATCTTAAATATCAACCAGTGTTGCCGGGTCTTCGGCATGAGAAAACGTCCCTCTTGGTCTGAAAAAAAAGTCATTTTTTACCCAAAAACGTCTTTTTCAAATTATGCACACGTAATTGTTCTTATTAAACTTTTATTGTATACAAAGGTACATAAGTATATATGTAAGGTATATTAAAATTTCACTTCGAAAGATTACATTTAAAATTCATTGTAAACTGGTTTGAGATCCTTTAATATAAAAATCATTTTACATACACTTGTGATCAGCTGATTAAGTCAACAACAATTTGATCGATTTTAGCTGGTTAGCTTTTGTTTATTTAATGTTTATTATTTTTCCATGAAAGCCCAGCTCATTATATAACAAACAAAATATAAATCCACATTTCATTTGCGCAAAAAGTCAGAAGTCATTTTAGTTCAGAAAAAAAATACTAAAAAAATAAAAAAGGCACTAGGCACTAAATAATTTTTTTTTTTGCGTTTTAATTTTCAAAAAGCTTTAGATCTAGTGCTTAAAGCACCAACTTGGCAACTATGCTCAATTGTTTACAAAACCAGCCTTTGAACGCGGGATCCTTAGTCCAAGAATCAAAATGAAAATGCGCGTATGCTTGGTTTGCATCGTATTTAAGTCATTTGTGTACAAAGGATAAATATCTTTTGAAGAAGCTGCTGCAAAAAACAAAGCTTGTTAAGATTTATTAAGAAAATAATTCAAAATCAGTTCTACTTACAAGCAGTGTTGGCGCTGTCCCAAGAAAATGTATCACCGACCAACCCACAAATGTATCCAAAAGTATCCAATTTTCTTTTTTACGTAACCATCTCATAATTTGTAAGAAAACCACACATTTTCAAGAAAAAGAAATAATTTAACTCATCCTACTAAAGACATGGAATACTTGTATATATATTTTTACGTTTCGTAAAATCAAACATTTGTAATTTCAATTCATAAATTAATTTTTTATTCATAAGTACTTTGCAAAGTGAGTATAATAAATAGTAATTAATATGTTACATTTGTACCTGTACACTCTAAAAAGTGTGTGTAAAACTCGTACTGAAAAGTGTCTAATTTTCAACAGGAATCTGTATAACAATACATACGTATAAGATGTTCAGGATTTGATTTTGAACTTTAAAATATACACATAAATATACACACGAAATGTTTAAAGTTGCAAAAATTTTGAAACTAAAAATACATTTCCTACATAATAATAATCTCCTACATAATAATAATCTCCTACATAATAAACATTAGGGGCTTACATTTACTCTATTTTAAACATTTTATGTGCTATTTTGCTCTCTGCGACAAATTTGGTATGTTTATTTTATTACACGGTGTGCAAATTTGCACACATTAAAAGAGGAAAATGGTTACCCCTCTTAATATGCGCAAACAACAAAAAAATTTTAGGTGTATTTTTAAAGTCTTTTCAGTAAAAGCTGTGACAGACGGCAAAACTTATGCATATAATCTGGCATACATATGCGCATAATAATTTTGACCTCACAGACGGCAGTTATGCGGATAAACGAGCCGCAAGGTCGTGGGTTCGAGTCCCACGGCCAATTAAATTTTCATTTTTTTTTTATTTTTTTTTCATTCTTTTTTTTATAAGTTCTATATTTTTTTTACGTTGCTTTCAGTTAGTTGTTGTTGACTTTTTATTAAAATTCAACTCTAAAAATTTAAATTAACTGATAGTAAAATAAAAAATGTGATATAAAATAAAGCAAATGAAAACAAAATAAAGTAACATTAAATATATAGATCAAATAAAATAAAAAAAATATAAAATAAATAAAAACAAAAAAAAATTCGCAATCGCTCCAACCGAGGATCGAACCTGGCAGCTACAGGCTTGTATCCCGTAACTCTTACCACTCGGCTACTGCGGACGCGGGACACGCGCGCTTTGTTTGCTTACTTGTAGAAAAGACAACAGCTGACCAGTGTTGTCAACGAAAACTGCCCGGATCCGAGTTAATTCCCAAAAATTTCGTGCATTTGTTCGGCTTCTTATGCGCATATTAAGCTCGGAACACTTTGACGACAGCAAGCGACAAGCAGCATCTGTCAAATTTTAAATACACACGTTCTTACGGACACAATTATTTTGACGTCAGCACGACATCTTGGCTGCAGGACTGCAATTGTCGACGTCGCCAAATTAAATCTATTTCTAATTTTGCCGGCGACAATGAGTAGATGTAGTGCTGCAAAATTAAATTGGGGAAAATTTTCCAAAACGGATCCAGGCTTTGAAAAAAAAAAAATATTAGGGAGTATAGAGGAGCTTTTTCAGATTCTAAATCTGAAGACCCCACCCTCCGGAGGCTTATAGTTTTAAAGTAATTCGCATTTAAAGTTGCAAAAAATACCGAATTTAACCTCACCTTTTGCTTTGTACACCAATTGAAGTGAAATGTCAGGGCTGCCATACATATGAAAAAATGCCTCAAAAACACAAAACGGAAGCAATAAAAAAATGCAGATAATGATCGCGCGATATTTAATAAAAAAATTTAATTATTTATTGGTCGATTTTTGATTAAAGTTGCATAATTTATCGAAGTATCGATTTTATAATAAAATGCGATGTTTTATTAAAAATGTTCATTATTCATCGAAGTATCGAGTTTTAGAATATAAAGCGCCGCAGGCGAAAATTTTTAATAAAAAATCGCGCGATTTTTAATTAAAAATTTTCATTATTTATGGAAGTATTGATTTTTAGAATATAAAGCGCCGCAGGCGAAAATTTTTAATAAAAAATCGCGCGATTTTTTATTAAAAATTTTCGATATATATGGAACTATATTAATATATGGTTACTGGGTGTTTTATATAAAATCGCGCGATAGGACGATTTTACGCACAACTCCTTTTTGTGTTGGCCGCGTTTTAATAAAATCCTTTAATAGTGGCGTATTTACTTTTAAAACGTATGGCAGCACATATTTGCTCTTACTGTCGGAAAATATAACATGTAACACAAAATATAAGTGATAAGTGGCATATTTAAAAAAAATTGAGTCAAAGCAAATAAAGGCGGGTTATGCAAATAATCTCGAGCCCGTTTGTCTACCGTATAAAATTCATAAAAATTTCTTTGAAATAAATCAAATTTAGTTTTTTAAACAGTGTATTATTTTAAACTACATTTTTAAATTAACAAATGAAAATATGTGATACGTATTATTAAGATCTTGCTTAAAGCATCTTTTTTAGCCTAACTAAACAATTGCGCCTACACTGCTTTGGTGATTGAGATTCTCTTCATTGCTTCGTTCACAAAAAATAAAATGCTCTAATTTCACAATTAAGTAGCGATTTATAAAACATTTAGAAAACGTCATTAATGAAAATCGATTTTTGAACGAAGAAAACTTTATAGAAAATATAAAATTTTGGCCTATTTAAAAAAGTATCCGCATAAAAAATAAGTATCCCGCAAAAATTTAGTAATAAAATTTATAGGGATGTTAAAAAACGTCATTTTTTGGGCAAAAAAAGTCCGAACCTCAACCTGGTAACGGTTGATATCAACACTGACCACTAAAAGACTTGGTTTCTTGTTTCTTTGAATTTATTCATTATCGGTTCGCGACCAATGGAGTCGCAAACCCTTCAAAAATTTTTTATAGACTCATTAGAGTGCTCCTCTCCACGGAAATCTTTAGTAAAAGGCGAAAGATTTATTCGACAACTGAAGAGAAGCCAGAGTGATTTGAACAGCACACTAAGCAACTACTACTTTAGGATATTTTATATACCATATGAGAATTTCGTTGAGTTAGATAAACACGAAAGAATAAACCACGTATGTACTCTGGAATTAACATCAAAATATATATAATAGGGGGATGAATCGGCGAAAACGTATTATTAACGTTTTCCAAAAGCAAAAGAGATATACAGTGAAACCCGCTTAAGTACGCCCACCTTAAGTACCTAACCCGCTTGAGGCCAAACATTTTTACAGGCTAACCTCATATTCGCGGCTTGCGTTTTGGTACGCATGCCGTCGAATTTGTTTTTTTGCGTCACCCGAAATTGAATTGCATGCGTTTGCATTTGATTTCATTGAGCGAAACGTCAAATCAAAATGTCACGCAGAACAAAAATTGGAAAATGAGTTAGCTTCATACGCACGCCGTTCAATTTCGGTTGATCTCATACAAGTTGCATGTGCATGAGAAATTTTTGACAATAAATTGGCGGCATGCGTGAATATTAGGTTAGCCTGTTAGGCACCGTGAATTTTTTTATGTGATCTAAAGAAAATCGCTCTCTAAGGTACCTCCCCGCTTATTTACCCAATCCGTCTAAGTACCTAAATTTTTCTCATCCCATTTATCATTTTACTTATAAGTGCTCTTTTAAACTTTCTTCAAATTTTTACGTATTTTGAAATTCAGTGGCAGTGCTACACACCTTTGCCCAAAAATTTCTAAAAAATCAACGGTAATTCTTAACCACTTGAAACTTGCAAATTATTACGCTGAAATTGAATGGATTATAGGAGTGTATATAAAAAAATGTTACACTTCTGAGAAGCAAGTTTGAAATTTTGATAAAATTTGGAAAATTTTAAGCGAATGTTTTAAGCTTTCGTGGTATTTGTTAGGGAATGAAGTTATCAAGAAGATGTAACTACATCAATAATTATGTTCTCGTCCAAGTACCTCAAAATGATGATATTTTTTGTGAGGTACTTAAGCGGGTTTTACTGTACTTTTGCATTCAGGCAAGTCCATCAAGTCTACATATATACTTGTACGTATGTATGGATGTATGTACAAATATCACGCTTGCTAGAAGAACGTCGTAACTCAAAAAATTGGGTACACCAGCGAAGAGGCTTTCAAGATATTAGTTAGGTTTCTCGCATTGTACATAAATATTTTATAACTGGGAAGAATTTCTTATGAGACTCAATTGACAGATATCGCTATGAAATTTTTACACATCTAAAAAACATTGTGGACTGCAATTTCGGCATACTCAGTACAATTTTATTTAATTTCTATACTATGGCATTCTTTCTTCCGGCGAACGAGAAATATGCAAAGCCAGGTAGAAATCAGCAAGTACTAAAGTGAAGAGCTCACAAGGGGCTGTTGTCTGTGCACTGCGCTTGACTCATGAATTCGCTATTGTTGTTGTTGTTGTGTTCTTGGTTGTCGTTGTGTTTAAGGTTGTCGTACTGTTAAAATTAAGATATTTATATTTACACGCACAGAAAAGTAGTGGATTTCGGTATTAAGGGAATGTATCAACCGGTTATACGATAGCGCTCCTCAAATAAGATAATTTCAAAGCAGCGCGACCGCATATGAAGGGAATAATAAAATAGGTGTTCAAAACATCGTAACTTCTAAAACATTGTAGATGTTTTTCGATACATCGAAATAACTAAACTCAATGACCCAATAACAGAATGTCGAATAGATATACGCGAATTAGAGATACCCGACTGGAGCTAGACTCGATACCTGGTCTGAGAATCATTCAGCTTTTTTTTCTCAAACCTCAAACATTTCAAACCTTCGGGAGTTTCTCGTAAACAACTATTTACCGTTCAGAGACGGCGTAAAAATGCAGGCCTTTCCATTTGAGCGACGTATTCCAAAAATTAAGACAGAAACTCTATCGAACAAAATTTTACCTGATATGTAAATAGTTTTAACTAATATTAATATGAAATATTTTCATTATTAAATTTTTTGTCGAAAAAACTAAGACAATTATTCTTTATTTCATCATGATATTGGACAGAGAAGTATCTTTTTTTTAATTTTTTGCAGTTGAAAAACTATTTGTAGCAGAAAATCAGTTAAGTAATCAAAATATGCGTAATTACCTTGGCTTTCTATTAGTGTGAGATATATTTAAATAAGTATTTATTTCTATAAAAAAATTTGATACTTTTTTATATTTTTTGAAATATTTTTTATTATTAGTTTGATTTTGTTTTTTTCGCAATCTTTGTATATATGTAGTTGTCAAAATTTATGGAGTACACTGTAAGTATTTGAGGGTGGAAAAACCAAAACTGTAGAGGTTCCGACTTTTTCATGCCTGCGTACATAACGTTTCAGACCATATATGTTTGTATGTATGTCAGGCTAAATGGTGGAAGTAAGTATCTGATTCGAGGTTTTGGTGGAATATCTATGTACAGTCTTTGGATAATTTTGATTTGCGTACATCCATATTACCTCTCAGAATCCATCCGAAACTTGATAAGATCAAATCTGGGTATTTCACGCAACTTGAACATCATCGACACATGGCAACGCTTCCACATTAATGCTATAAGTAGCAGCTCACTAGCACGCTACTAAAGTCACCCAACATATGTACATACACACGTACAACAAGTAAACAGCAGGGAATGTTAAACTGTTGGCAAGCGAATACAGCAGAGAAGGCACAGCCGGTATAAAAGTTGAATCTCGCTAGCTTAGAGTGAAAAGTTGTTAAGTCCACTTTATATGAAAATTGATAGTTTTATATAGGAACCAAGAGAAAGTAAAAATGCATCCCTTCGAAAAGGATTAAGGTACTTGTTTTCGTTTTTTTGGGTTTATATTCAATGAAAGTCAAATTTGCCAAGTCCAAAAGATGCACCGAAAATACAATTTTCCTCTTCAGTAAAATTTATAAAAATATACTTAACAACTTTTCACTCTTAGCTGGCGATATAAATATCCATATGTATAGTAGATATGTAGACAAAAGTATGCGCATATGTACGTACACAAACACATAGGAATGTGTGCTGATCCGAGGCGGTTAGAATAACAACTTAACTCATTCTAGATGATTTGAGCTTAAAGAGCGAGATTCCTAACTTTTGTATAAAAATATAAACTTCTTATTAACCTTTTTTGTTAAATTATACCTAGACATTAGCTTCGGCTATATAACACATTGAATATTGAATATCTAGTGAAAGATAGCATGATTTCAAGAGAAAATTGTCACTTTCGATTTAAGTTAATCTTGCATATAACGTATATCCATTTAGCAGCTTACTAAAGGTTTATTATACGTATTCACAGCAGCAAACGAACGCTTTGTTGCTGATACTCTTATTTATGTACATTAGGGTGCATCACTCTCCATCCAAAAAAACGTGTGACGATATTCAGTATAGGCCGAATATTTTTCGAAAATATTTTGGCTGTACCTTCACGGAAGCACTTTAAGTGTAAAATTATTTCGTTAATTTGAATTTAATAAGAAAACTGACCGAAAAGAAAAAAATCTTTTCTAACTTAAATGGCTGCTGATACCGGCAGTTTAAATATAATTAATTTTGTAACAGGCTAACCTAAGGCCCTGTCTCCACAGGAAAACACTGATGCCGTGATAACCATGTCATAAAATATATTTCCAATGGAGACCGCCTATTTCTTATGTGCTGCAATATATGTCAGCGCTTATTGCTTGACATCTATTGCAGGCAATTCGATAGTTTGACAGCCATATTTTCATTTGAAAGAAAGCGTGCTGGTGGTAACATCGATGAAATTTTGATATTAAATCAAAATAAAAATCTGTTCCGTATTGGATAATTTATGATTACGTTTTAGGAAATTATTTAGCTAGTTTTTTAAAGATTTAAATGTTTTTAAACACCGAAATTGAGAGAATGTTGTCTGGTGGCGTCATGCGGCAAATGCTAATTTCAAGACATCAAAGTGCCCACACACAAAAACTTGCAATCACATTGCTCGTCAAAATGACAGTTGGTAGGCCATCGCTGTTCGCCTGTGGAGTTCTGCGGTAACAGGCTAAGCCGACAATTTACTGTAAAAAATTTCTCATGCACATAGTTCAAATTCCAAATTTGTATTACGTGACATTTCAATGTGACGTTTATACACATTTGACATTTTGACGCGACTATGCATAGAAAAGCTCACGCCGGTAATATTAAGTTGAACTGTGATTCGGGGAAAAACACGCAACTTTTTTTGGTGAGGCACCCTAATATACGTATGCATATACATACATACATATGTATCTGGGTGGTTGTTGATTACGTATTTTATTTTTAACCTTTCTTCTCTATATTCACAAATGTGTGTCCAGTTTACTTGGTATATTTTTGGTTCGCTTAACTTTTATGCTACTAAATTTTGCTTTAAATTCTCACACGATTTATTAGTATTTGTATTTAAATAGTACGTTGTGCGCTGTGTT